CACTCATCCTGTACTTTACAAGCATGATGCTTTTCTCTATGTCTTTCTCCTCCAATAACATGTCCAAAGTACATGAGCTGAAGTTTTACTGTCTTCGCTTCTAAGGAGCATTCGGACTGTAGTTCTTCCCAAATATGTTCATTCCTCTGGCAGTCCATGGTATATTTGATATTCTTTGACAAGACTGTAATTGAAAAGCATCAGTTTTTCTTCAGTCTTCCTTATTCATTGTCCACTTTTCACATGCACATGAGACAACTGAAAATGTTATAGATTGGGTCAGGTGCACCTTCATCCTTAAAGTGACATCTTTTTTTTTTTTTTTTTTTAACACTTTAAAGATATCTTTTGCAGCAGATTTGCTCAATGGAATATGCCATTTGACTTTTTGACTATTGCTTCCATGGGTGTTGATTGAGGATCCAAGTAAAATGAAATCTCTGACAACTGCGATCCTTTCTGCTTACCATGGTGTTGCTGATTGGTTCAGTTGTGAAGATTTTTCTTTACTTTATGTTGAGGTATAATCCATACTGAAGGTTGTAGGCTTTGATCTTCATTAATAAGTGCTTCAAGTCCTCTTAACTTTCAGCATTTGATTATTTGCTCAGCACATAGATTGACTAAGTATGGTGAAAGTATACAACGCTGATGCACACTTTTCTTGGTTTTAAACTACACACTACCACCTCACTCTGTTTGCATAACTTACAGGTTTCATATGAGCACAATTAAGTGTTCTGGAATTCCCATTCTTCATAATGTTACCCATAATTTATTATCATCCACACAGTCAAATGCCTTTGCATAGTTAATAAAATACAGTTGAACAGGTACACAGCTTTCTGGTATTCTCTGCTTTCAGCCAAGATCCATCCATGAGCAATGATATTCCTCATTCTACATTCTCTTCTGAATCCAGCTTGAATTTCTGGCATTTTCCTGTCGATGTATTGCTGTAACTGTTTTTGAATTACCTTTAGCATAATTTTACTTTGTGGGATATTAATGATATTGTTTGATCACTTCCACATTCCACTGAATCATCTTTCTTTGCAATGGGCACATATATAGATCTCTTCTAGTCGATTGGCCAAGTAGCTGTTTTCCAAATTTCTTGGCATAGATAAGTGAGTGCTTTCAGCATTGCATCCATTTGTTTAAACATTTCAATTGGTATTCTGCCAATATCAAAGCCATGCTTCTCGCCAATGCCTTAACTTCAGCTTAGACTTCTTCCTTCAATACCATTAGTTCTTGATCATATACTTCCTCCTGAAATTGTTGAACACTGACCAATTCTTGGTGCAGTGACTCTGTATTCATTCCATCTTCTTTTGATGCTTTCTGTGTCATTTAGTATTTTGTCCACAGAAACCTTCAATATTGCAACTGAAGGTGTGAATTTTTTCTTCAGTTCTCTCAGCTTGAGGAAGGCTGAGCAAGTTCTTCCCTTTTGGTTTTCTAAGTCCAGTTCTTTGCACATTTCATTATAATACTTTATCTTATTAACCCACTCTTTGAAATCTTTTCAGTCCTTTTATTTCATTTCTTCCATTCACTTTAGCTATGCTATGTTCAAGAACAAGTTTCAGAATCTGTTCTGACATCAATTTTGGTCTTTTCTTTTGTCTTCTTAATGATCTTTTGCTCTTCATGTATGATGTCCTTGATGTCATGTGAAGAGTCGTCTAGTCTTTGGTCTTTAGTGTTCAAAGTGTCAAATCTATTCTTGAGATGGTCTCTAAATTCAGGTGGGATATACTCAAGGTTGTCTCAGGCTCTCATGGACTTGTTTTAATTTTCTTCAATTTCTACTTTAATTTACATATAAGTAATTTATGGTCTGTTTCACAGTCTGCCCCAGGCCTTGTTCTTACTGATGATATCGAGCTTCTCCATTGTCTGTTTTCACAGATGTGTATGTTTATGTTGCTGAAAAAAGATATTTGCAATGAGTCATTGGTCTTGCAGAATTCTATCATGTGATCCTTGGTCGTTTCTCTCACCAAGGCCATATTTTCCAACTATTGATCTTTCTTTGTTTCTGACTTTCACATTCCAATCAACAGTAATTAATCTTGATTGTATGTTTTATCATTTTCAGGCTGCAGAAGTTGTTAAAAATTTTCATTTTCTTCACCTTTGGCATTAGTGGTTGGTGCATAAATTTAAATAATAGTTGTATCAATTGGTCTTTCTTGCAGCTATATAGATATAATTCTATCACAGACAGCATTGTACTTCAGGATAGACATTGAAATGTTCTTTTTGATGATGAATGTAACACCATTCCTTTTCAAGCTGTCATTTTTGGCATAGTAGATCATATGGTTGTCTAATTCAAATGATCAATACCAGTCTTTTCAATTCACTAATGCCTAGTATATTGATCTTTATGTATTATTTTCCATTTTTGATGACTTTCAATTTTCCTGCATTCATACTTCATACATTCCACATTCTGATTATTAATAGATGTTTGCAGCTGTTTTCTTCTTATTTTGAGTCATGTCGCATCAGCAAATGAAAGTCTCAAAAGCTTTATTCCATCCACATCATTAAGGTCAAGTCCACTCTGAGAGGCAACTCTTCCCCAGTCATATTCTGAGTGCCTTCCAACCTAAGAGGAAGCTCTGGTGGCACAGTGACTAAGGCACTTGACTGCTAACCAGAAGGCTAGTGGTTCAAAGCCACCAGCCACCCCTTGAAAGGAAGATTGGGCAATCTACTTCCATAGAGATACCACCTTGGAAACCCAAGGAGGGTTTGCTATGAGCTCAATTGACTCGACGGCAGTGAGTTTGGTTTTTTTTGGTTTTCCATTGTAAGGGGCTCATCTTTCAGCATTATATCAGGCAGTGTTCCACTGCTATTCACAAGGTTTTCATTGGCCAATTTTTTCAGAAGTAGATTGTCACATCTTCCTTCCAGGCTGCCTTAGTCTGGAAGCTGTGTTGAAACCTGTCCACCTTGGATGACCCTGCTGTTATTTGAAATATTGGTGGTGTACCATCCAGCCTCACAGCAACATGCAAGTCACCACAGTATGGCAAACTGACGTGGAAAATAAATACAGCAAATACAAAATGAAAAATGGAACAATGAATGTAAAGGCATGAAAGGATGTATACCCACTGCCATCAAGTTGATTCCAACTCATGGTGACCCCTACAGGGTTTCCAAGATTGTGAATCTTTATGGAAGCAGACTACCTCATTTTTCTCCCACAGAGCAGCTGGTGAGTTCAAACCATGGAACTTTTCGTTAGCAGCCAAATGCTTTACCCACTCCATCACCAGAAGAGATTGTATACTAAGCTAATAATGACACAAAAAAGCAAGTGTGACAAAAATATTAGACAAAGGGTAAATATTATTTATGCATGATAATGGTATGGTCATATTTTTAAATAATAATGTCTTAGAGATACACACTAAAATATTTACAGATTAGATGGAGCTCTGGTAGCATAGTGCCTAAGGCACTTGACTGCTAACCAGAAGGCTGGCGGTTCAAACCCACCAGCCACTGCTCGGAAGGAAGGTTGGGCAATCCTACTTCCGTAGTGATACTGCCTCGGAAACCCAAGGAGGGGTCGCTATGAATCGGGGGCGACTCGACGGCAAACAACAACAACAACAAAAAGATGATATGATGGATTTACCTTAAAATAATGTTGGGGGAGATATAGGGGTGGGTTGTAGGTTGGGTTATGGGTGAAATATGATCAGTCATATGATGATATTGTTGAAGTTGGGTGACTGTATGGGTACATGGGGCTTTATTTTACTATTTTCCATAACTGTATTGATGTTTCACATTTTCCAAAAACAGTTAAAAAAAATTAAGGTGAAAAACAATAAATGACAAAAAAGGATGATATATTGATAAAAGTCATGAAACCACAAGGATAAAAGCAAAGTTTCAAAATATATATCAAAATCGATAAAAATGCAAGAAGCAATAACAAATCCATAATTATAATGAGAAACTTTTAAGACTTTTTTATCAGTCATCAAGAATCAAGTAGAACAGAAATAGTAAAGATATTAAAAGTACTTACACAGTTAGTAAGCTATACATACACTTATTCACAAGGACATACATACACATATATTTGTAACCAACAGAGAAGATATATTCTTTTTAAATGCTTGAGAAACCCCTCCAAATACTGGCCACATGTTAGGATACTCTATGTGTTCAGGAACTGTTTGACTCCTTTACAATGAGAACACATTCACACGCTACTTGTGCAACAAGAGATTTTATAAAAAGGAACAGAAGAACCATTTATCCTTTATTAGGTTGTGGTAGGGATTTTAAACATATTATCCCATTTCATTTTCACATAAAACAAGAAGGCTGGTACTAAAGTGAGGCTAGAGAGGTTCATTAACTCACCCACGGTCACCCAGACAATAAATGACAGTCAGTACTGGAACTCAGTTCTGTGCGATGCCAGGCCTTGGTTAAGTGTCCCTACACCATGCTGCCTCACAAAATCTTGGTTAAGATCACCAGAGTATTACTTTCAATTTCTTCTCCAAACAGAACACTTCTCATTTTAACAATTAAAAAACAGAGTTTGGTAGAAAACCGATGCAGAATATTCTCAAATGGACCATATTCTGATTAGGGTGTGTCCTTCTGACACTCCAGTTTTATGGACAGTCATTGTTCTCTTATGGATTATCCACTTTTAATTTACAAAAATTTTTACAAGTATTACTCTTTCATATGACACAGCTGCTTAAATCCCAGGAGTTTGATTTGACCATCGGACAGAATTACTTCACAATATGTAGTCTGGGAATTAAGCAAAGACGAAGATTCTTTAAGGCTACCACCAGACGTTGCCTCTGTGGGCTTAGGGGAGAGATGTGCTCTCTAAACACTCACCTGATCTGGGGCAGCATGTTGCCCAAGAGTGACCAAGCCTGTTAGAGAACAACTTGACCAATTCTCTTTATGCAAACGAGGAGCTCTTTACTCACCCAATTCGTATTTTCAGCATGCCACTGAATAACTCGGGGTTATTAGAGATGATCCAGCCAATATGGATGACCAGCTCTTGCTGCACGACGGCTTCCCTCTCATCGTGGGTGTTACACTTATAATAAATAATGTTCTTAATCACTCTTGGAGACAAAGGATTAGAGATAACCTCTTCTTCATGTCCAAAGGCACCCAGAGTTACCTATAAGTGGCAGAATTTTATTGTAAAAATCTCCTAGCTACTGAAAAATAAAAGAAAAAAAAATTCAAGGCTCAGGATGACTGGCAGGCTTAAATTACTCTACACAGCTAGGGAATTAGGTAGAATAACTGTTCCTGCTTTTTATTAAAATGGCTTTCAAAGCGTGACTCCCACTGGAGTTCATGATGGTTCATAGTCTAGTCCAAAAATTAAGGGCAGGTGAGGATCCCAGTTAGGCAAGTGGAGGTTAGTGGATAAAAGTAGGGAAGGAATATAGATAACTATTACGATAAAATTATTCTGAATGACTTTAGGACTAGAAACTCACCAGAGAAACCAAAATACAGAGTAGTTTTACTTTACTGTCCACAATTACTACCCAATTTAGTATTTGAGAGATACATTTTTCCTTTCTTGTATAGTTTCACCAATGAAACTTTTCATTCTTTTAACCTTTTCAAAGGCAGATGCTAGGTCATATGCTAGTTGTGCAGCTCCTGCTTTCCTTGCTACAGTGCTTGGTACAATGCTTGGCATAGTGCTTGGCATCTCCAAACCAGTGCTGTCAATTCCGACTCTTAGCAACCCTACAGGACAGAGTAGAACTGCCCCAGAGGGTTTTCAAGGGCGGAAATATTTACGGAAGCAGATGGCCAGGTCTTTTCTCTCGTGGAGCAGCCGGTGAGTTCTAACCACCGACTTTTTGGTGAGTAACCGAGTACTTTAACCCTGTGCCACCAGGGCTCCTCTTGCTAGGCAGGTAGTGAGTGCTCACATATTTGCTGCTGTAGCTGTCACTGTGGAAGAGGATAAATGAAGCTGCCCACAGGCCCGGGAAAGGAGAAAGTAAGAGGCAATGGCAAAGGAAGCGCAGTGTGTGGAGGCTGGCAGGAGGAATCCTGGGCTCTCGCTCCCGTACCCTGGCCTCCCAGAGGAGTCTGCAGCACCGTCCCCTCTCTCCATCTCTCTTCTATATACCGGGCAGTGTTATACGAGGAAAGAAAAAGACTAGCAAAACTAAGGGCACTTGTGTTTTCAGAGATGAGCAGCAAACGGGGTCTTTCCCCCTCAGTTGTGTGATTTGCAAAGAGAAAACTGAGAACTGCTAGGATATTACATCACAGGTGGTACCTGCGGTAGTAATCAGTTAGTCCAAGTACATTACTTTGATTAAAATGTCAGTGTGCAAAGGAGAAAACAGACAAGAAGGCACATCATTGCCTCTGGAAGCAATGCTGACTAAACCACTATTTCATTCCAGAGTGATCTGAAAGCACTTTGTAGAAACAATATTACTTCAGTTTTTAGGGTGGCATTTCATAACTGAGTTAACACAAACTTTGAATGCTGCATTCTCATTTCTTTTTAACGAAACAGAAAGATGCCGTCAGTGATTCGACTTCATGCACTTGGCCATGAAGCTGAGCTGCTGGCCTCCCAGTCTTAGCCTGCTCTGTAAGTGACTGTTTACCCAGGAGATGCGTTCTGATGGGCAATGATCCAGTCACAGCCCCGGGACATGGGAGCAGAATCATAGGATCACAGGTTGCAAGACCTCTGTAGATACCATACAGAATAAACATGACCAACTCTAACCCTGGGGCTAGGGGCCAGTGCTTAAAGATCTCCAAAACCTGGAAAATGCTCATGTATAGGTTCAAACCCACCAGCCACTCCTCGGAAGGAAGGTTGGGCAATCCTACTTCCGTAGTGATACTGCCTTGGAAACCCAAGGAGGGGTCGCTATGAGTCGGGGCCGACTCGACGGCACATAACAACAACAAACAACATAGTAGAATTAACTATATTTTCAGATATGCTACAGGGGACTAAATCCAAGGAAAAATAGCTTCCCAAAGATTGTTTCCTGTCTTTCAGAGATGGCTTGGCTCAGGGCAAAAATAAATGACAAGAAGCTGGAGGTCAGGATTCCAGTGAGAAAAAGTACCGAATAAGTTCCTTCCTGAATCTTGGCCTGTTTAGTTGACAAATGGGGATGAAGAGTCTTAGTAATATGGAGAAAACAAAGAAAATAACAGATGAAAAATGATTTGACATTTCTCAGGAGAAATTTTTATGAGTTCAATTTGTTTTTCATTATAATTAAACATTATGGAAAAAAGAGTTTATTATTCTCACATTCTAAAAGTTGGATGCATAGATGAAATAACTCCAATTTTAATGAATTAAGAACCCTGAAATATGAACCAAGGGTTGACTCCATTAAAGAGGGTTAAAGTGCTTTATATTACTAAAGCTTATTATGTTCCTAGGTTAACTATCAGAAAAATGCAATAAAGCATGGATATTCCCAAAGAAGGGAGGAAAAGTAAACAAACTTCATTCCAACAATTCCAGCCAAGTAATCAGAGCTCACGGAAAACAAAACAGAAAACGAGCAGCCACACCCCACTCTGCAGACCCACATGCACAGGTGCAATTCAACACACATGCTCCAAGTGCCTACTCCATGCCAGGCCCCTTCCTGGGCACAGTGGGACACATGCTGGACAAGACCAAGGCCCTGACCTCCAAAGGCTCACAACCTACCATTGGGTGAGATACAAAAGTGAATTGGGATCCAGTGCTGGTTGTGAAAAGTATCACAGACCTGTTAGGAAACCCCAGAGAAGAGAGGGACCACTGCTAACTGGAGATGGCTCGGTGAGGAAGAGGTGATGTAGCTGGCCCTGGTGGGTGGGGAGGAGAGCTCCACTGAAGCTGGAGAAAGAGGTGGCCGAGAGAGTGAAGGTTCTGAGGAACAGCTTTGGCACAAAGACCACGGCTCTACCTACAGACCAATGTACTTCTAAGGAGGAAAAGAATCTCATGCTGAGTGGAAGGGAAAACGTGCCCTTCACTGTTCACCTGTCTTTGCTCCACCTATCCTAAACCTGTCGGAGTACTTCAGATACTGTTATGCCATTTAGTATATCAACAACTGACCTCAAGCTAACACAGGAGTTGAGAACTCAGCTCTAAGATACAGCAGGAAAAGGGCACGGCCCATTTATTAACTATGCACCTTTAAAACTGGATTTTGCTTGAGGAAGGAACCTTTGTAGAAATGCCTGAGCCATTGTTTGCCTGGTTGTGAGAGGGCTATAACACTGAGCTTTGCCAGATTTAAAAGCAAGGCTCCTACACAGAGACCGTAGTAACTATGACCGAGTGAGAGTCTGAAAAGCAGATACTTACCTGTTTGCCCTGCACTAAAACATTAGTAATGGATGGGGCCAGGCTGTCCACTAGTTTACTTAAAAGACTTGCTGCATGGCGCACAACCGACCTGGGGGCAAAGAAGAGAGCAGGCCAGATGTTCACAAATCTAAATGATGGTCAATAGGGCCCCCGATCAGGGAGTCTCACAAATACACAAGGGTGGTCCTCACATAATCTTTTGGAGGAAATACTGAGCCCAAGACATTGGAAGAAACAGCTGAAATCTCTTAGACTGTGGACCATCGAGAATTAGGGAGAAATCTCACGCCCTAACCTCTGCCACCAGGCTGTGCCCCAAAGCATCATTTGTGCATTTGTACCGTTACTCATTTAAAAAGAAAGGGAAAGGAGCTTAGTTATTCCTTCATTTGGGAACTAGAGGGGAGGAGTTAAGTGGGTATTAGGATTTTCCATTATTAAATTCATTATTAAGTCTGTCTCTGGTGTGTATCACCATTTCTGTATTAAATTATATATATTTTTTGATGTCTAGATAACCAAATCCCTGGATTAGAGGACTTACTTAGTAATGAATTTTAGGCAATGCTGAAATGTAATACCAGCATTTTTTTTCTTGATAAAGCCAGAATGTTGGGGGAAAGAATTCACACTGTTATTTTTACATTTCTGAAAAAGTCTTTAAAACGTAGACAGAACATATTTTTTTAAGCATCGCACGTGTAATACATCAGACATTTAATTTTTTTTCCTCAAAAGTAAAAATTTATGTAGAACTTTCAGTTAGAGAAAAGAAGCTAACGATGTAGTTTAAAATTAGCTGCAATTTTCTTATATTTCAGAATATCTATAGAAGCTGACCTATAAACAACATTCACATTCCTTAATCTCAACATAGAACGAACTAGTAGACAAATGAGTCAATACTGATAAAGTTAGTGAACAAACATTTCCTCTCTATTTCTAGAGAAGCTTTCACCCACACATAAGATCAAAAGACTTATTTAACCCTTGGAATGCAAATAAGACCACACGTTTCAAGCAGCTTGAGTTTCCAAATTCTGTGCATGTTACCTGTTTCCCATGTACCAGTAAAGTAGTAATGTGTGGGGCTATAGAGGAAGAAAATTTCTGGGTAAATGCAGCCCCGTAGCGTACTGCCAACCTGGGTGTGTCAGTAGAAAGTCATAAAAAGGAAAATACAGTAAATAAATCTTCTAAGAGTTTGTCCTCTTAAATACAACAGTCAGTATTCTAAGTGTTTGCTAGTTGATCAGTTATCTAAAATACAACTATAAAACACAAAGCAAGCACTTATTTTTTGCTTATCCAAAAATAAGTCTGTAGGCCACATTTGAAACTTACTGCCTTTAAAAACATTCCTGACTTGCATGCCTTGCTGTGTTGAGAGTATTTATAGTGAGAAATTGAGAGATGTAACCATGGAATCGCTACCTTATTTCTTCTATGTAGGAAAGGTATATTCATTGAAAAGACACAGGGTTGAAACACTGTTAAGAGACTGTTCTGTCTATTGCTATTATTTTGGAGATTAGAAACCTAGGGTTCATGGATGTTAAGGGAGTTGCTTATGACATTGAGAGTTTTTTCAAAATTAGGTAACAGGAAATGTAAAGAAATTAGAGTGTTATTTTTAAAATGTTAGGTTCTGCTAATAACATTAGTTAGAATTGCTGCAAATGCAGAATACTATGTGTACAGGCATACCTACCTCACTGCAAATTCAAACTCTGGTATCTCAATTTACTTTTTCTTTTTAGATCCCTGGGAAGAGACTATCTCTGTAGAACAAGTTAGTTTTCATGAAGCAACTATAATCATTGGTGGGACTCTTTCAAAGTAACAGATGAGAGAATTGCTTTGTAAGTATATTATTTTTGCGTATGATTAAATGAACAGTTGGTCTCTTTTCATGACTTCTATGATGACAGAACAGGTTTTCTGAAGACAAATTAGAATCTAAAACATGTTGCTGGGACAGAAGAGGTGCAGGATAGGAAACAGTCATTAAGCTTATTATTCCAGCGACTGCTCTCCAGTTTCTGTCCCTATACAGGTCTCTACTGTCACTTCTCTTTTTTAAATCGTGGAAGAGCTACTATAACCTTAGAATTCAAAAGTAAAAAAATGATCCTCTTCAAGACTGGTCCATTATTTTTAGGCTGTTGAATATGACAACACAAAATAAAACATAATGAAAGGACACTAATACGAACCAAAGCTTTTTGCTGCCAGCTCTTCCATAGACTCTCTCAATGTGATCAGAAACGGTACCTAGACATCAAATAACAGAGTCTTTGTTGAAGAAAGCTTTTAATTAAATGCATGACATTTATTTCTCTTTTTTAAAAAATATCATTTTTGAATTTTCATTTTGTTCTATTAGAGATAATAATTCATCCTTTTATGTTCTGAGCTACTTGACATAGTCATTAAATAATCCAAATATATAAAGTGTGAAAGTCCCTAGCACTTGTTAATATTCAGTCGTAGTCTGATTTTGGTGAGTACTTTATATCTTGAAATTCAGTTGTTTTCTTAATTAATATGCAGTCTAAGTTTTTTAAAAAATAAAATTATAATTTATTACAGAAAATAAAAAATGAGAATACAATAAAATGATCAACAAATTGAACTAATACTGTCAACTCTGAATATACACAATTATTTGTTTGCTTAACAATACACATGTCCGAGCATGTGCATGGGCTATGGTCATTCTGACATGTACTAGAGCTCAAAAGACACCCTAGACTTCATTCTTTGGCTGCAATTTACATGTATTCTAGCTTCGTGACTGGTTTTGTCAGTAAATCAACCATGTGACATAACAAGGAAACAAAGGTAAGAATAAGATCTATGATGTTTTACCCTGAACTTATTTTTACAGCCTTATAACAAATTGAATACAATTACATTCAGATTCAAGATACTTATGATTTTCAGTAGACTATGTTTTACAAATTTAAAGCCTTTCAAATATCTAAGAACAATATGAATAGTATTCTCAAGTTTATAAAAATTGTTTTTTAAAAAATTTCAACATTTTCATTATAAACTATATAAAAAGCACTACTGAAAAGTCATTCAGAATTCTAGTGAAATGTTCTAGTGAATTCTAGAATTGAATTCTAGTGAATTCATTCAGAATTCTACTGAAATGTTTCCAGTGAAATGTTCCATTTAAAAAAATGTTTTAGCTAAAGTTCAAATTTCAATGAAGGTCTCCAATATAACTGGGATTCTGTTCATAGTTTCAAGACAGTTAAAAACACAAGAGAGTCTGCCTGAAATCTGCTTAAAGTTTTTCTGCCTTTAACCGGTTAAGAATTTTAAGACTGCTCAACTCACGTGTATAATATTTGAGGTTATCTCTTAGCTGCAATGATGCAAAAAGTAAGTAGACTTCATTTGAATAAACAAACACATTTAGTTTTGTGTTATTGATTACAATGTTATTGATTACAATGCAATTTCTAATTCTAAACAAATAAATATGCTTTTCTGAACAGAGGACTTTCCGATGAGCCAAAAGATTTCAGTAGCCAGACACTGCGTTCTTCAAGTATATACTGTATGCCTCTGTACTGTAAAATGCCAGAAGCAGACCTAGCATTCCTTACAGTACTGACTCAATATACAAGGGTGGATTTCAGGGGTAAATGCATTTCATCCTTAAGGCAGAGTGGATATGGACATGATCAGGAATGATTTATTTTTATTAACCACCTTTGGAGAAAAATCCCATTAAATATCCCAAATAACAGCTGCAGACTATTGGGAGCTAATATTTAAAGATATAACAATTCAGTATCTTTCCTGAAAAATTACAGAAAATAAAATGGGAAACAAACTGTCTATAAACAACTATGGAGCCATCAGAGGTTAACAGTCACAAGCAGAAACCAGGCTTCAACTCCACTCAGACCATCAGAGGAATAATCAAACATCACCACATGAAAGCAATTTAGGAGTTCGCACACTGAACTGGTTTATTCCACCGCAGGGGGTTATGAGCATTTTCCATTCAATAGTGGGGTGGGGGGGAAGGTGTAGTGGAGAAGTAAATAACTTGTAACATTTTAGTAGATGTTCATTATGAATTAGAATTCATTAGAAAAGAGGCCCTTTTATTTAAAATATTCTCTAAGACATGTGCTCTTACCTTCCTGTGTGATAAAGTTGGGCCCTTCTCTTTTGAGCAGTATACCCAGCAGGATGGCTTGGCTGGCCAGACAACTGCAGTCCTGAAAGTATAAATCACTATGAGTAACTGGAAAGAAACGGGTACACGAGTTACGACAGGGGGCAACTAATAACAAAAACACATGATGCAGAGAAGAAATATCCTGAAATAAAATTTGTTATATGCCATTGTGTTGGACCCGACTCATAGCAACCCTCCTTGGGTTTCCGAGGTGGTGACACTACTGAAGTAGATTGTTGTTGTTGTTGTTATGTGCCGTTGAATCGGACCCGACTCATAACGACCCCTCCTTGGGTTGCCAAGGCAGTATCACTATGGAAGTAGATTGCCCCATCTTCCTTTCGAGGAGTGGCTGGTGGGCTTGAACTGCCAGCCTTCTGGTTAGCAGTCAAGTGCCTTAGGCACTATGCTACCAGAGCTCCCTGGAAGTAGACTGCCCAACTAAAATTTAGGAAAGATAAAATGTCACTGATATACTACCAAGCAACATATGACATTATACAACTATTTAATTAGATACCTTGTAGACAGGGTAGACAAGCTGACTTACTAGGGTAGCAGGATTTAATAATCAAACATCCTAGGAAACAAGACAAACAATAGACTGAAAATGTGATACCTGTAAGTACTAATCTTTATTCTGTCACACTCTGAGTGATCTGGCTAAGTGATTTAACCATACTCTTTTTTTTTTCTTTAATTTTTATTGTGATTTGGGTGAAAGTTTACAGAGCAAATTCATTTTCCATATAGCAGTTCATACACATTATGTCTCATGACACTACCTGTAATTTCCCACAGTGTAACAGCTCTCTTCCCACTTCCTCACCATAGTTACCTCTTCCCTGTGTCCTTCCCTCCCAAGCACTCCTGCCCCTCAAGCAGTCTCCCGGTACATACACAGCCCTTCTGTTTATGCATGATTCATCTCTCCAAGAAGTGTATCTACCTGGGTAAATATTCAGCCCATATGACGGTCTTTGATTTGGCTGGAAGCCACAGGACTGAGTTCAATTCCAGACCTGAAGGGCAGCTAGGGGCCATAGTCTCAGGGGTTCTACCAGGCTCTATCAGATCAGCAAGCCTGGTTTCTTTTTTTATTTTTTAAAATAATTTTGAGTTTTGCTCCACATTGTTCTCCTACTCTATCCAGGATCTGCTACACAGATCCTCCTCTGAGTGGTTGACAGTGGTAGCCAGGTATCATCTAGTTCTTCAGGTCTCATGGTCATACAGGCTGAGGATCGTATGGTGTACCAGTCCCTTGGAGTAACTGTTTCCATGTGTCTTTAGTTTTCTTCATTTTTCTTTGCTCTGGACGAGGAGAGACCCCTCATTGCATTTAGATGGCTACTTGCAAGCTTTTAAGATCCCAGTCGCTACTCACCAAAGTAGGATATGGAATAATGTTTTTGTGTAGTCATGCTATGCCAATTGAGCTTGATGTCCCCTGGGACCATGGTCCCAAGCCCACAGGTCCAAATACTCACTCCCTCTGGGTAGCTGGCTGTACCCAAGAAGTCACCACAACCTTGTCCCTTGTCAGCTTTACTATATACCTGGGCATTCTCACAGAACAAAGAAATATGCTTGTAGTGACACTGTCTGTCAACCTTATACATGGTCATGAACATGCTCCCTCCTGACTAGATATATCTGATCATTCAACTTGTCCACTCATCTATCCACCTGTGGATCAATGTTTGCCATCACTGACAACACAGTACTGTATGTGCAAAAAGGTTCACCTTTGTTGTTTGTATCTCCCATGTACCTCTCTATGTCTTCCTCTGCCCCAATGCCTCTGTGTTGATCACACACTTTTGGTACATTGCCCTTCCCTTCACCCAAATCAATACTTGTCTCTACTTATCTAGCAGTGTTCTATCCCCTTCCCTCCCACCCTAGCTAACAAAGAAAGAAAGTTTTGTTCCGTATATAAACCTTTCCTTGACTTTTCACAATAGCAGAATAATACAATATTTGTCCTTCTGTGCTTGACTTATTTCACTCAGCATAATGTCCTCCCTTCCAAGTTCATCCATGTTATGAAGTGTTTTGCAGATTCTACGTTGTTCTTTAGGGATGCATAGTATTCCATTGTGTGTTTATACCATAGTTTGTGGGGTGGTTGTTTGTGTGTCAACTTGGCTGGGCCTGGCTGAGTGGCTGGGCAGCTAGTGGTAGTTATCCCCCATGATGAGACTGGCAATCAACTCTATGGTGGGACCTACCACAAGCATCTGAGTAGCTGCTTTAGGGATGTGGTCTGCTTCCTGTATATAAGAAACAGCTTTGAGAATGGTCTCCAGCTTATGGCGTGCTTGGACCCTGCATGTAGCCATGTTGTTGTTCAGCAGCATGCCATGCTCTGCCGACTTTGGGACTTAAATGGGTTTGAAGTAATAGCCTGCCATGCGGTTTGGTAACATTGGGACTGTGCCATTTTATTTGTCGACCTTGGGCTTGTTAGCCTCAGCAGCCAGTAGCTGCCTGAGTGAAGAGAGGCCTCTAGCTTCAGTGGGCCGGGAGCAAGAGGCAGAGCTGAAGCCCAAGGCTAAGAGGCTTTCACACAGCCCCTAGAACCTGGCACTTTGTTCAAGCCTCCCAAACTATAAGAGAATAAACTCCTATTTGATAAGGCCATTCCATTTGTGGTATATTTCCTGTCAGAGTGGTTACCTGTACTAGGTAACCAGAACAGTTTGGTTATCCATTCTTCTGTTGACGGGCATGTAGGTTGTTTCCATCTTTTGGCTATTGTAAATAGTGCTGTGATGAACATGGGTGTGCATATATCTGTTCTTGTCCTGGCTCTCACTACTTTAGGATATATACCTAGTAATGGGATTATTGGATCAAATGGTATTTATAATTCCAACTCTTTAAGCAATCGCCATACTGCTTTCCACAGTGGTTGTATCATTTTTAGACCCACCAGCAGCGTATGCGAATCCCAGTATCTCAACATCCTTGCCAGCATTTGTTATTTTCTGTCTCGTTGAACTTTGCTATTAGTGCTGGGGCCAGATGGTATCTCATTGTTGTTTTGATTTGCATCTCTCTAATGGCTAATGATTGTCACCATACCTTTCTTGACTTTACTTATTTGTAAATGGGAACACCATGTTGCTATGAAGTTGTTGTGAAGTGATGAATGAGAGGAAGAGACATGTGTAGCATACTTATTATATATTATGACATTGTGCTACGTGCATTATGCCTGTTATATTCATCCTTTTATATAGTTAAATAATATTGATCAATAATAAGGACTGATGATGTCTGGCAGGATATATATGTAACCTGTATACTCAAATTTGTGTCCAACAGGATGCCACAGTGTTTATAGTTCTACCATTAGAATTTTATTTCCTTGGATAAATACTACACTTTACTTTTACTCCCCTTGGATCAAGACTATACCCTACTCCTACCCTTCCTCTTTTAAAAGGTAAATAATCTTTGTTGTTGTTATGTGCCATCGAGTCAGACCTGACTTATAGTGACCCCTCCTTGGGGTTCTGAGGCAGTATCACTACGGAAGTATATTGCCCCATCTTGCTTCCAAGGAGTTACTGGTGGGTTTGAACTGCCAGCCCTCTGGTTAGCAGTCCAGTGCCTTAGGCACTACTAGGAGAGGTAAATACTAATTTGCTATCATATTCATATGGATGTGGTCATAAAATTGCTTTCTTCAAGAGAGACTTAAAGCAAGCATTAGACCTAAACAATGTGGCAGGTGAAAAAATCAGGGTTGGGAAAAGGAGAGAAGGGGCACTGAAAGGGAAATTTGGAGATCCCATGGCCTATTATGGATTGAATTGTGCCTTTCCAGATCCCAATACACTAGAGTCCAAACCCACGGTTTTACTGAAGATAATTAAAAAATGATTACAAGAGTATATTGACAGGGAACTTCCAGAAATTCAAGCTGGATTCAGAAGAGGATGTGGAACAAAGGATATCATTTTGATGTCAGATAGATATTGGCTGAAGGCAAAGAATACCAGGAAGATGTTTACCTGTTTTTATTGATGCAAAGGCATTTAACTGTGTGGACTGTAACCAATTATGGATAACATTGCAAAGAACGGGAATTCCAGAATACTTAATTGTGCTCATAAGGAACCTGTACATAGACCAAGAGGCTGTCATTTGAACAGAATAATGGAATATCACATGGTTTAAAGTCAGGAAGGGTGTGCATCAGGGTTGTATCCTTTCACCATATTTATTCAATATGTATGCTGAACAAATAATCTGAGAAGGTGGACTATATGAAGAACATGGCATCAGGATTGGAGGAAGACTCATTTAACAACCTATGATATGCAGATAACACAAGCATGCTTGCTGAAAATGAAGATGACTTGAAGCACTTACTAATAAAGAGAAGAGACTATAGTCTCCAGTATGGATTGCACCTCAACATAAAGAAAATAAAAAACTTCACAACTGGACCAATAAGCAACATCATGATAAATGGAGAAAAGACTGCAGTTGTTAGGGATTTCATCTTGTTTGGATCTACAAATGACACCTATGGAAGCAGCAGTCAAGAAATCAGATATCACACTGCACTGGGAAAATTTGCTGCAAAAGACTTCTTTAAGGTACTGAAGAGCAAAGATGTCACTATAAAGACTGAGGTACACCTAACCCAAGCCATGGTATTTTCAATTACCTAATATGCATGTGAAAACCAGACAATGAAAAAGGAAGACTAAAGAGTTGATGCCTTTAAATCATGATGTTGGCAAAGAATACTGAAAATACCATGGACTGCTAAAACAACAAACAAATCTATTCTGGAAGAAGTGCAGCTCGAATGTTTCCTGGAAGTGAGAAGGGCGAGACTTCATCTCACTTACATTGGTCACGTGGTCAGAAGTCCCTGGAGAAGTATATCATGGTTTATAAAGTAGAGGGTCAGAGAAAAAGGGGAAGACCCTCAGTAAGATGGATTGGCACAGCGGTTGCAATGACTCAAGTACAGCAAGGATTGTGAGGATGGTGCATGACTGGACAGTGTTTCATTCTGTTGTACATAAGGCTGCTATGAGTAGAAGTCGATTTTATGGCATCTAACAACCACCACCACCCAAGGTCCTCTTGAGCTGCCCTTTGAAATCTTCTGTTCAGCCATTATGAGTCAAAACCGACTTGATGGCACCAAACAACCACCACCCAAGGTACCTGTGAATGTGACCTTATTTGGAAATTGGGTCTTTTAAAAATGTAATTAAGTTAAGATGAGATCATATTAGATTAGGGTAGGCCCTAATCCAGTATGACTGGTGTGCATCTAAGAAGATGAGAAGAGATGGGGATACAAAGGGGAGAAGGCCATGTGATGATGTAGGCAGACATTAGAGTGATGCCAAAGATTGTTGGCAAAGCACCAGAAGCTAGGAATAGACAAGGAAGGATTCTCCCATAGAACCTTCAGAGAGAGCATGGACCTTGATTTCAGACTTAGGTAGCCTCTAAAACTGTGAGGGGAATAAATTTCTGTTGTTTTAAGCTACCTACTTCGTAGCACTTTGTTATAACAGTGCTAGGAAACTAATACGTGGCCCATAAAATACTTTCATATTCAATGACCCCATTCCTCACCCTTTTCCCCCTTAAGCATCCATGCTAATGCTAAGAATGAGAACACCTCTCATTACTGCCCCCTAAGCAGACTGGCCATCCATCTGTCTCCAGGTTAATAGGGAGTTCTGGTAGCGTAGTGCCTAAGGCACTTGATTGCTAACCAGAAGGTTGGTGGTTCAAACCCACCAGCCACTCCTCAGAAGGAAGGTTGGGCAAGCTACTTCCATAGTGATACCGCCTCAGAAACCCAAGGGGGGGCTATGAGTCGGGTCCAACTTGATGACAAATAACAACAACAACAAACGAGAGGACAAAAACACCACTGAAAGCTCCTGCTCTGCCAGTCTCACTCAGGGCCACATGGGAATTGAATCTTCCTTACGTGCAGTTTTTGAAGAATCTCATGGGTCGGTTTGTTTTTCCATTCAGTAATGGTGACATCTGGCTGCTGTTCCAGTTCAGAACCACCAGGGGTGCTGCTCTGCCTTTTGACTTTTGAATGTTTGGGAAGCTGTACTTCCTCAAAACTCTTAAATTCTGGAAGTCTGGAAATTAAAAAGAAAAAAAAAAAAAGGCTTTCAGACTTCTAATTCTATCTTAAGAAAGACAATAATTAGATAACTCAAAGGCACTCACTCTTTTGTGTCACTGATTCGTAAGAAGTCAAGTTGCTCTACTACAGCTCCAGATATTAGGGTCTGAAATGCAATAATGAAAGACTGACCATGCTTACATAAATTTAGTAAGCCATATCACAATCTGTGAACACACTTTTCTATAAGTATGTAATTCTTAAAAAAAACAGTTTACTTAAAAAACACATACAACTCTTAAGTAATTTCCTAAATGAACATTCTACAATCAGGTTTTCAACACAACCAAATCTCTTAAAGTAGAACATACACATCAGACTACAAGTTTATGAGTCATAATACATGAGAAAATAAACATGAGATGAACTGTATTTTCTTTCTGTTCTTAGAATTATAGGCATTTATTTTTAGGCTAGAATTAAAATAATTCTGAGTATTAACTGTCAAAAACATTTTAAAATATTATTTTTAAATTTAAAAAGTAACATGAAATATTTAAATTATTTTTGGGAAGAGGCAATGTGAAATTGTACCCTGGATTCCACTATTGAAATATATATATATATATATATATATATATTTCAGGGCTACCCAATGATGAGATATTGCCACGTTTTCTTTTCTCAGGTTAATGAAAGTATTGACTGTCCAGCCCAATGGTTCTCTACATTCTGGAAACCCGTATTTGGTCATTTTAGTTTCGATTAGTTTCTGATTACAGCTCGAGCAAACTAAATGAAAGCAAACTCAAACTCAATTTTTGTTTGTCAGTGGTTCATGGTGAATAGTATAAATAAATAACCCACAATGATTTTTACTATATGTGACACTACTAATTATATGATGAACTGTCAGAGAAAATCGAGAAATACACTGCATAAAAAACAAACAATGAACTATTATTTTAAAAATAAGGCAACTGTTCAATCAAAACTGGCCTCTATGTAGTATGTGCTCCATTTGCTCACTGTTTACTACAAATGTGAAGCAATATGACATAAAGCAGCATTGCACATGTTGGTTAACTACCCAGAGTTGTGCTGCTTTCTTCTCTTGCTATCGTTACATGCTGTTGAGTCAGTTCCAACTCATAGTGGCCCTATGTACAACAGAATGCAACACTGCCTAGTCCTCTGCCATCCTCACAATCCTTACTATGTCTGAGTCCATTGTTGTAGTCACTGTGTCAATCCATCTTTTTGCGAGTTGTCTTTTCTGTTGACCCTCTTCCTTACCAAGCATGATGTCCTTCTCCAGGGAGAGTTCCCTCTTGACAACATCTCCAAAGTACATGAGATGAACTCCTGCTATCCTTGCTTCTAAGCACCATTCTGGCTACACTTTTTCCAAGAGAGATTTGTTCCTTCTTCTGGCAGTCTATGGTATATTCAATATTCATTGCTAATACCATAATTCAAATTTATCAATTCTTCTGTGGGCTTCCCTGTTCACTGTCCAGCTTTCACAAGCATTTGAGGCAACTCAGACACATCTTAGCCTTCCAAGTGACATCTTTGCTATTTAACACTTTAAAAAGATCTTTTGCCAAAGATTTATAATATAATTCAATATTCAGTATAATTCAATATGTCATTTGATTTCTTGACTCCTGCTTCCATGGGCATTGATTGTGGACCCTAGTAAAATGAAATGCTTGACAATTTTAATCTTTTCTTCAGATATTATGATGTTGCTTATTGGTCCACTTGTGAGGATTTTTATTTTATGTTGAAATGTAATGCATACTGAAGAGTATAGTCTTTATCTTCATCAGTAAATGCTTGTAGTCAACTTCATTTTCAGCAAGGAAGCTTGTGTCAGATGTTTACCTGTGTTTTATTGACTATGCAAAGGCATTTGACTGTGTAGGTCATAACAAATTATGGATGACATTGCAAAGAGTAGGAATTCCAGAACACTTAATTGGGCTCACAAGAATTCTGTGCACAGACCAAGAGATAGTTGTTTGAACAGAATAAGGGAATACCACATGGTCTAAAATGAAGAAGGGTGCATTCAGGGTTGCATCCTTTCACCATACTTACTCAGTTTGTATGGTAAGCAAATAATCCAAGCAGTTGGGATATATAAAAAAGAATGTAGCATCAGGATTGGAGGAAAGACTTGTTAACGACCTAAAATATGTAGATGACACAACCTTGCTTGCTGAAAGTGAAGAAGACTTGAAGTACTTACTGATGAAGAACAAAGACTACAGGCTTCAGTATGGATTACACCTCAACATAAAGAAAACAAAAATCCTCACAACTGGACCAATAAACAATATCATGACAAATGGAGAAAAGACTGACAGTGTCAATGATTTCTTTTCATTTGGATCCACAGTCAGCAGCCACAGAAATTAGATGTTGTACTGCACTGGGCAAATCTGCTGCAAAAGACCTCTTCAAAGTGTTTAAGAGCAAAGATGTCATTTTGGAGACTAAGGTGTGCCTAACCCAAGTCGCGGTATTTTCAATTGCCTCATATGCACGTGAAAGCTGGTCAATGAATACGAAGACCAAAGAAGAATCGATGAATTTGAATTGTGGTGTTGGCGAAGAATACTGAGAATACCATGGACTGCCAGAAAAACGAACAAATCTGTCCTAGAAGAAGTACAGCTGGAAGGCTCCTCAGAAGTGAAAGTGGCCAGACTTCATCTCACCTATTTTGGTCATGTTGTCAGAAGGGACCAGTCCTTGGAGAAGGATATCATGCTTAGTGGAGGGTCAGAGAAAAAGGGGAAGACCCTCAACAAGACGGATTGACACAGTGGCTACACTGATGGGCTCAAGCACAGCAAGGATTCTGGGGATGGCCCAGGACCCGTTAGTGTTTTGTTCTGTTGTATGCAGGCTCGTTATTAGTCAGAATCAACTGTGCAGCACCTAACAACAATAACAAGGTTATGTCATCTACATATCGCAGACTGTTAATGAGTCTTCCTCCAGTCCTGATGCCAAGTTCTTCTTCACACAGTCCAACTTCTTGGATTATTTGCTCAGCATACATGTTAAAGAAGAGAAGGGTCATTTCTTGCTTGAGTGATTTAGCAGAGCTGAGCCTTGAAGTGGTGTAAGACTTCAAAGCCCAGAAGCCTTAACAGAAGGAAAGATAATCCAGGTAGAGGAAACTGTCTGAGCAGAGGCACAGAAATCTCAAAGAGCTCAGCTATAATACAATAATTAATTTGTATTAGCTAAAGTACAAAGAGTGTTTAGTAGGAGATAATCATAGTCAGAGGCCGTTATGCTAATCAAGAACCACAGAGGACTTCTGTGATTTAGGACCTGTGAAGATAATGCTGTGAAGTTTGGACTGGAACAGGGAATCTTCCCAGGTTGGATGTTTTTTGTGCAGCAGGGAAAAGAACACTCAACCAAGTGTCAGCCAACATGCCCCTGTAAGTCCAAGATTACATAGGAGGTCACTTAATCACTCTGGACCCCAGCTTCCTCAATGCAAAAATGAAGTTGGAGATTATTAAAGTCTAAAATTTTGGTTAGGAAAGCTGTGAAATTGTTTAGGCATCAGATTATAAGAACATAAACTGGAGTGGTGACAGTAAGAATAGAAGGGTAGGTACAGAATAAAACCTTCTGACAAAAACTTTAAATAGAACATGTATTATAAAGCATAGCTGCATCTTTGGATTAAGTATCCAGAAAACAGAAACACAGTAAAATTCAGAAGACTACCTGTACACGATCAACATGAACTTTGACTCCTCCAACCATTCCCTTTTTAAAGGCTGCCAGCATATCTAATATAGGGTTGAACCGGCTACCTCTAAAAAATATAAACAGATAAACAACATGTACTTGTTAACAGTGAATTGAGAAATTAATAATCTAATATTAATTAAATGTCTATTATATATGCAAAGCACTCTGCCACACACTAAGAAGAATACAAAAAAGTTTAAGACTGCTCTCAAAGGGTTCACTGTATAAATGGTGGTGAGATGTGTGCACTTACTCTTTCCCTGACCTACCTTATATTGTCCTCCCGGATGAGAACAAGGAAAAGTGGACGTCCATGCATTTTCCAGTATTGCTTAATAAACTGTAGTGCATTCTATGAAAATACAAAAACTCATATATCAAGACATATTCACAAACAAACATTGGATAAAGTAGACTACTTAGGGACAGAAATGTTCTAATGGAGGTTTAGGTACATGCCAGTTAAACTGGAAACCATTTTGATTTCAAACTTTGTTCTTAGAAACACTCACACATTTTTAAAGTTTTGTTTTGGGTAATAGGAGCTCTGGTAGCCTAGTGTCTAAGCCATCTGATTGCTAACTAGAAGGCTCATGGTTCAAACCCACCAGCCACTCCTCAGAAGGAAGACTGGGCAATCTACTTCTGTAGTGATACTGTCTTGGAAACTCAAGGAGGGGTCACTATGAGTTGGATCCAACTCGATAGCAGTAAGTTTTTTTTTTTTTTTGGCCTAATACATACAGTTTGAGAGTGAAAACAGTCCCAGAAGATTAATTTTCACTATATGTTACTGTGGGTTCATCTTAGAACACATAGAAGACATTAGACTAAATCTACACAGATCATCAGAAACATGGAAGCAATTCTTTATTTAACTAAATTTCTATCCTCATCATCATGCTTCATTATTTAACCATGTCCCAAGGAACTATTCTGAGTGATTCACATATATTAACTCATCTCATCCTCATAATTAGCCCTATTATTAATCCAATTTTACAGATTAGGAAATGGAGACACAGAGAAACTATGAAGCTTGCTAAGATCACACAGCGGTGGAGTCAAGATCTGAACAAGTCTGGTTCCAGACTTCATGACTTGATCGTGATTCTAAGCTTTTCTACTCTGCAAGTGGAACAGAAAGCGGAAGGGATTCACTGGGAGTTATGAGTTAGCTGAGGTTTTAATGGACATTCTTTTTTTTTTTTTTTT